TTCGTGAATTTTTGATTACAATGATATTAAGTTATCTAGTGTTGATCTATTTTTCCTAAATCCACTTTGTTTGGGTATAATAAGATTATAAAAATTAAAATCATGTGGTTACCGAAATTCGCTACAATACAATCAAAAACTAAAATGTAATGCAAAACGTAATAAAATGTAGAACACGAAAAAGAACGATGAATGTTAATGAAGTAGATGTTCATGTTCACCGCGAACGTCTTGGCAACATCCTAATCTCAAATAAAACTGTCTTCTAACATTATTTAACATAACAGGCGTGATCGACCTGATCGCAATCGTTATTCGTTCTTTTAAGTCATTTAAATCAGAAGGTTTAGTTTTGTACACATGACTCTTCACATATCCCCATAAAAAGAAATCTAATAATGTAAGATCAGGTGATCGCGCTGGCCATTCAATCGATCCTCGGCTCCCTATCCACCGATTGGGAAATATTGTATCGAGGTACTGCCGGACATTAAGTTGGTAATGTGGTAGTGCTCCATCCTGCTGAAACCATATCGTATTCGCTGGAACTTGAGGGTTTCCTGGATCAGGATATAAATTTGCTAACGTTGGAATGACATAATTTTGAAGTAGTGCCAAATAATTGTTTCCATTCAAGTTGCCCTCAATTAAAAAGGGACCAATGATATTGTTTCCTACAATCCCTGTCCAAACATTAACCTTTTGAGGGTATTGGGTGTGTTCTTCTCTCATCCAGTGAGGATTTTCCGTGGCCCAGTACAGGCAATTTTGCCGATTAGCATGATCGTTAAGTGAAAAAGTACACTCATCAGAAAACATAACGTCTTCTAATTGGATAATATTGTTATCCAACATGTCCATCATTTGCTCACAAAAAAAAGTTCTATCAAAATCGTCTTCCAAGAGCTCCTGAGTAGGTATCATCTTATAGGGATGCAATTTATTTTCTTTTAATATGTTTAATATCGACGTATGGCTAGCATTGAATGTAGTGGATGCCTGTCTACTCGATGTATGTGGATTTTCCTGAAACTCAAGCAACACATCTAATTTGAGTTCATCACCCAGTGCATTGGCAGCTGCTTTTTTTATCTGCCTTACATGACCAAACTCGCGAAAGTGCTTCTCTATTTTACTTATTGTTCTCTATACTCTACTGTATGAAATAGGCGAGTTACTTCCTGTTGTGTTAGGGTGTTATCTCCGTAACCAATCATTTGTAAAACTATTATTTTATGCATTTCCGTTAATCTAACCATTTTTCAGAATTGAATTGAACGAACTTTTTACTTAAATTAAAATGCTGACAACTTAAATAAAACAATTTACTAATGCGTGTTAAAATAACGTTGCCACTCAAATTCTTTAAAGTTTTTTAATGGTTACCATCTAAAAACCACATTGCTATGGTTTTTGTTCACTTTTTCATTATCAAGACCTAAACGGGAAATAAGTTTTGAGTATATTTTAGCGAATTTCGGTAACCACATGATTTTAATTTATTTTATCTTAATTAATCTTAATAAACTTGAAAGCGACAGCATTTTTGAATGGAGAATGAAAACACCTTTCAAACGATATATCACAAGCCTATACTTCCTATTTTAAAAATTAGGGGTTGTACCTGTCATTCTAAGGGGGTTGAAGGTAAGGGTTGCATTTTCACGTTAAAGAATGTCAAGTTATAATTTAAATTTGACGTGTTTCGGAATTTTTTATAAATATGTACAGTAACCTAAAAAATGAATTTATTCCATTTGGCTTTTACACACTGTATAAGATTGAATAGTTGCAATAATAGTTCTTGGCTTACTAGTGGTAGGTTCTGTAGAATAAGCACAGGTATATTATCTGGTCCTGGACTAGTATTTCTAACGGAGTTAAGAATTTAAATAAATTCAGTCAAGCTAATAGGATTGTTTATTCGTGAAGTGTCATTGATTATTGGTATTCCTTTATTTTCTTTAAATCGTTTCTTATTTAAGAATTCTATTGAACAGCTTTCATCACTAGAAGCGGTACAATATTGACTTGCCATTATTTCAGATATATTGCATTCGGACGTAAATGTCTGATTGTCTTTTATTAAGTACTTTATAGAGTTTTCTGAAGATTTTCCAGATATACGTCTAATCATGTTCCAGATTTGACCAATTGGAGTAGATCTATTGATTTCTGAAACAAACTTTTGCCACGACTCTTGCTTGCTTTTTTAAATAATAAATCTGCATTTAGCTCTTATTCTTTTAAATTCCAAATAATTTTCAGTATATCGTTTATATCTATTAAAAACCGATTTAGATTCCCTTATTGCCTGTTTGCACGCATCGTTCCACTACGGTACAGGTCAATATTTTGTATGAAAAGCTGTTTTTCCAATGGATTTATTCGCTGCATCAATGATGACTTTATTGAAAAAGGATGTTTTCTCGTTAATATCTTGTTCTGAGTCTAACATTTACCTAAGATTCATAGCTGATGAAGAAATCAATGTTGAGAACAGTGTCCAGTTGGCTTTATTTAAGGACCATTTGGTGATGTGTGTATTGTGCTGATGGTACAACATATTGTTAACTAAGATGGGAAAGTGATCACTTCCATATAGAGCAGGTATCAAGCTGTAGATAAACTAGGTTGCAAGTTTGGTTCACAAATTAACAAATCAATTGCTGAAAACTCTCCTGTTGCTGCATTATATCGAGTATTCCTGCCGTCAATAAGTAGATTGAAATTAAGATTATTTAAGATAGTTTCTATTTTTCTTCCCATTTTTGTCAATTTTTTTGAACCTCATAATGAATTATGTGCATTAAAATCTCCCAGTATAATTTGAGGTGTCGTAATCTGACGTAAAAGGTTAGAAATGTCTGCTATACTTGGATCAGAATTAGGAGCAATGTAAAGACTGCAGATGTTAACTTTTAGTGGACTTACTAACCACACCGCTACAGCTTCTAGATTTGTTATTAGAGGAATACTGCAATATTCATAGGAATTCTCGATAAAAATTGAAACTCCACCACTGGCATGTTCTTGCTTTTGCCTAATTTTAGATACGCTTGTATAATTTCTCAAATTATGAATTTTGTTGTAGACAAAATAAGTTTGTTGTAGACAAATTATAGATGGAGAATTTTAATCAATTATTAATTTTAACATTTCTAAACGGGTGTAATAACCGTTCAAATTCCACTGTATAGTAGACTTGAATGTGGGCTTATGTAGAAGGTTCTATGGAGGAGTCGCTATCGAGCTGAGATTTTCATATATATATATATATATATATATATATATATATATATATATATATATATGATATGATATATATGATATATATATATATATATATATATATATATATATATATATATATATATATATATATATATATATATATATATATATATATATCATGCAAGTGTTGAGGAAGGGTTTGGGATTGATGTATGAGGTTGTGAAACATTAGGTGTTGTTGATAACTGGGTAGTTGCTATATTTGTATCTATGCATGTAGTTTGAGAATATGGGAATGATGTTGAGGGTGATATTTGACATTCAGTTATTATTGGTATAATTAATGAAGAAGGTATAGTTGAGGATTGTAAAGAAAATAAATTCGCTGAAGATGCTGATGCGATCGGGACGTCACGTGGAAGAGTATTAACTACTGTATTTATAGTAGTAGTTGACACTGTTGTTGTTAAGTTTTGATTTGGATTTGTACAAGATGGACCATTTGCTATAAATGGTCAGATTGTTTACAATAGTAACACATCTGTTTTTCTAAAGATAAGAAAATGCGATAAGATGTTTGATCTTGGTTTATGACAATTGAGGGAGGAAATAATGTAACTTCCAAAGAAGAGATGTATGTCCGAAATGTATGTCTTCGAAAGCTCAGTATATGTCTATATTGTGGGTTTGTTGTACCTATTCGTAAAAAATGAATTGGAGTTAATAAATTAAGGACTATTTTTTAAGTTCAGATTCTATGAAAGTGTGAGGAATACTAGGAGATTCACATTAGAGATCAGTAATCTTTTATTTGGTGTAATTAAGCGCCGAGCATAAATTATTTGTTGATTGATAGTTATTCTTCCGTTGTCAGCATTCATGGCAGTTTCTACTAATTCTTCACTAGCTAGGTAAATACAAATACGGTGATTTGAAATTCTTGATAAAAAAATAATATATTTTGGTTCTATAATTTTTTCCAGTGCAAGTAGATATTCCTCAAGTTTGGCGAGCATTATATAAAATAGCTTGTTTCTTGGATGGGAATTTTGGAGTTGAATTAATTAAACGCTGCAGAATATGAAGAAGTTTTATGTGATGTCAATAACGTTTGGGGCCTCGACGCTCATGGACTATTAACATCATCCATTTTCGTTGTTTATGACTTCAGGTAATATAAATGATATGAACTTGTTTTGAAGTAAGTAACTAATTAGATTACAATTACTGATAGATTTTCTCCAATAAGTTCACTAATTTTTATTTACGGTATCACAACAATTTAATACACTTTTATTATTAATTAGATATAAATAAAAGCGCAAAAACTAGGTGCAATTAGACTGGTAATTAAATACGTCTTGCTTCGACGAAGGTTCAAATCGTTCTCCGTGATATAATCTTCTTTTAGACGAGATCTGCTCTTACCTAGTATTGGCCAATCTCTGGAAGCTCTTTCAATCTTACGTTTAATATTTTTGATGTTCATAGATCGTCTTAATAGTTTCTTCAATTTCCTGTTTTACGTATACACGATATTCCCACCTTTATTCAATCTTTACGTAGCTTTTTGTTTCTTGTCAGCTTACCTAATTATAAATTATGTATAAATAAATATAAATTTGACATATCTCGTTTGGATATACAAATTTTTTCTAGTTTAAATGGGTTTGTAATGAATTTTTTAAAATATACGTTTTTCATCGTTTTAAATCGATAGAACTGCTAAAAAGAAGTGTTATAATAATAAAAAAAGTTTGACTTACATTGTAAGCACTTATCATCTTTTTTATAGGATAAAATATCACATTGACAAATACCATTGACGCAAATCTGAGTTTCTGTACAATTCGAATTTTCTGTACAATTGTCTCCATGAACTCCTGCAAATTAAAAATAATATTTTATACATTTCTAACTTTTAAGGCCATAAAGCGTACTAAAGTCCACACATAACACTAGCGGTTTTTGATTGAATTACAAAAATATATTTGTAGACCACTTAGTTATCCAACTACCCTCGTAACATGGATATCTGCCGTTCTTAGAGGCAGCAACGACTAATCATAGATGGAGCTGCCAGTAGCGATCATATCTCAACGTGTGTCTGTGTGCATATTCAAAAGAGGAGATGATAGCAAATGGCATTCACAATACATACATACTATGATGGCATTACGTTAACTTTATTATCATAAATACTGTAAAATTAGTGGTGATATATATTAAATATTTATTTTATAATCTTTAAGAAACTGTATGCTAATATCAATAAAATAAATATAAAAGTAACTAGATAAAAAGTATCTTAAGTGACAATTTTGTGCAGGATTTTAATCTTAAAACTTAAAAAAAAATGTTCTCGTATTTTTAGATCAACTAGTTATCGAACAACCGTTTCATTAACCTTTAACAACATTTTATAACATTTTTTAACATTGACATCTCTCGGATCTTAAAGCAAATTTAAATATGATCACTGCTTGCTGCTCCATCTATCGATCTTTGCCGGTAATTTTAAAAATACAAATAGTAGTGTTCTTTAGTCGTGTCAGTTAGGTTAAATTAAGCCCCTCTCTCTAGGTAGCAGCACCGAAGCTGTAGCAGACATTTTTTTTAATTATTAAAATACATTTATGAATTATTTCTTTTATTTAATTTTATAATTTTTTGCTTAAACAAAATGATTCATTTTATTATGATTGTATTTAATGAAGATGACCAGCTACTAAATATAAATAATATTTTTAAAGTTCATCCCTCCAATTTTTCGTAGCGGTATTTTACGAGTAGGAGAAGCCGGGGAATACCGCGCACGGGGAATATCGCGCAGCAGTATCTTGGCAACACGGCGTAAGTATTGCAACATTCAACACAGTCACAGTGCGTCGTCTCGTATTTGCTAGCCGATCAAATGTTTGTAATAATATGACTACATTTGTAGTATTGGTTTAGTCAAGGTCACAGATTGTTTGTTTTTCAAGACTTTGAAATTATTTTCGACTAATCTTTAACAAGCGGTAAGTGCTTTTGTTATTAATGTTCATTAAAACTATTCAGTGATTATTTTGCTTTATATGTATAGATAATTTCACGTACAAAAATAATGCATTTTATTTAGTCGTTGACGAACAGATATAAGTTAAGTTAGGTTACTCACTTAGGGGGAATACCGCGCAGCTGGGTCGGACTAATTTCGTGCTGCGCGGTATTACCCCGTGTAAGAATTTTTGTTAATATAGTGTTTTTATTGCATTTTAGATTCCAAAATGCCCCGTGCCTACGTTCGGTAAACTGAAAGATCAAAATGGACAGAAGATGAACTAAAAGTTGCGATCACATTCTATACGATTTGTATATAATATATATAATATACGAATAAGTGGGATACGTAATATCTTGGGAAAGAGGGAAGAATGTTACCATAGTATGCGCTGTAAATGTTTAAGCACAGTTTGTCCCTCCTATGTTCATATTCCCTCGAATACATATGAATCCACACGCTCAATTGGAGCAATCTACAGATGTTCAAAAAACGGTTGGATAAATGAAAAGTTACTTTTCGACTTAATAAAACATTTTGTCAGCATATAAAGGCCTCGAAAGAAGATCCAGTGCTTCTCATACTACATAACCATGGAAGTCACATTTCTTTGGAGATTTATAGTTACTGCAGATCACACGGAATTGTTATAGTTTCACTTCCCCCTCATTCCTCACACAGGCTTCAACCTCTTGACCTACCTTTTTTTGGGCCCCGAAAGAATGCTTTCAATCGTGAGTGCGACTTGTATCTGAAAACTCATACTCATGAAAAGATCACACATTTTGAACTTGCTTCCATTTTTAACAGAGCATACCTGAGAGTTGCCACGATGAACAAAGGAATATCCGGGTTCCGTGCTGCTGGAATATGGCCAATAGATCCTAATAAATTATCTAGAGATGATTCCAGCTTAGTAGATGACACTGAAGTTTCAGATATGCACGTTGTAATGGACGTTACCAATGATGACAGGACCCTTGATCAGTCGTCGAGATGTGACGAAACTTTGCAGAGAACTCCACCGAGAAATACCGTACCCCAACTGGGACCATCGAGATGTGATGAAACTATGCACTATATTATAATGCCAAATTGAAATCAAACCAGCAAGCTGCACCCCAGCCTGGAATGTCAGGAAATATTAAAACTCAGTCTAGTATACCCATTGAAAAGCTAGCTCATCTTCCTTCCAAATTTATAAAGAAAAGTTCCAAATCACATGCAAAACAACACTCAGAAATTTTCACTTCCACGCTACTAAAAACGCAATTAGAAATAAAACAAGAAAAGAGAAATATTAAGAAAAAAGCTGAAAAGGCAAAAAAAAATGAAACCAAGAAAAAAACGAGAGGAACCGTAGGAAAACTGGCTGCTAAAGCAAAGAAACGACCTGTACGCAAGAAAGCTGTAGTTAGAAACTTACATTTTGATGATTCTGAGTCTGAAAGTTATGATGAGAGTAAGCTTTGTGATGATGATGAATTAGATGATGTAGATCTAACATTAGAAAATAAGGAGTGTTTGGTGTGCAGTGAATTTGGACGAGACAAAGAAATTTGATACCGTTGTGTAATGTGTTCGAATTGGGCTCATTCAGAATGTAGTGGTTGGGACTCAACAGTTAATTATACATGCGATATGTGTGCCAAGGTCGGACGAAAGACAGTCAGAAGTAAAATTATCTCTTTAATGTTTTTTTTTTTAATTTTGACTTTAAGAAATCTGTTTTGTTTACAATATTTGCTTTATTACAATAATTTTTTTTTTTCGAATAAAGATTTATTTACCTTAGGTGCGCAGAATTTCCCCGGTTTCCCCTACTATCACTTTAACAAGTTATAACTTTTTACTTCTTCTCGGTATAGGTATACCATTATTTGTAAAATGGATAATAAAGTTTAGATCTTAATTTATAATTTGTTCATTACTCAGCTCTTAAAGTTAAATAATGGAAATATGATTTTTAGAAAAAAAATCTTATTTCCTTTTGGTCATAGAAGGTTTTGTTTTATTTTGGAAAGTGTACGTGCTTTTTCACTAGCTTTTCATTGAGCATACTAACACGCGTGTGATATAAAAACTGTCGAAGTTAATATAATTGTTTACAAGCTAAAAGTCAGTTCTTTTTAAAATTGTTTTTTAATATCAAATTTATTGAAATGTTGCAGTTTTTTTATATGCTTTACAAATGTATCCTTAAAGAATCGATTTCGACTTACAGAATACCTTTAGAGTGAGTGCCTGGGCAAGAACAGTCTTTATAAATTTCAGCAAAAATAAGGGTTTTTTGAAATTATGTCGGTCAATTTCTTATGTATTTTAATTTTGAATCTCTCAATATTAAAGGTCTTTTTGGGATCTATAACTTTTATTTGAACTTATGAGCATTTTTATTTATCAACAAAAAATGACTTTTTCACTTTTTAGGAGTGTTTAAAACAAAAACAAAGCAAAATCAGTTGTAGGTACGTCTTCACGAATTTTTCATCAGCTACCTTTGTATACCTTTTAGGGCCTTCAAATGTAAGTATAAGATTTTTACGTGAAATCAACGATTTTTTCCCAGATAGACTGGTGTAATAGATCTTAACGCAACTGAACTGATATTAACCAGAGATGCTCTCACTAGACACAAAAAATATACACAACAATCGTCTAATCGCAATGTGCAATGGCTTTCTTCAGAGATTTTCAATAGAGATGGTCGTTTTTTCGTTCGACTTTAGAATTTGTTATCCTATTCTCATTCTTTTCACAAATCAGGTTTGTCCAGGATCTATTTTCCGGAAGGTAAATTTTTATTCGTTTTAATTTTTGTGTAATTTTGTCGTTTTTAAAGGTTTTGTTAGTATTCGTGGACTATATAGGTTTTGTTGGAACCAACATTAAAAATGGATTTGTTAATACTAAAAAATTTGGGAAACAATACAATATTTGGTATATATCTTACCTATTGAGCACAGTAAAAAAAATAAAAATATACACTTAAATATACACATCATCGTTAAATCTCGATAACTTGGTAACTAGTCAATTCAAATTATTAATCATTCGAGTGAGAATAGAGATTTTATCAAATTTAAGATAAAGTCATATCTTTGTTATTTTGTACGAAGAACAGGATACCTATCATTCATTAGAACGTCTAGTAAAACTTATAAAAAGTATAGACATTAATTACCTGTCTCAACTATTGATAAATATTATCTTTTGTTTAAACATCTGTTTGATAATATACATACTAACGCAAAGTGGCAGATGATAAAATGGTTAGATTTGTTCTCTAAAAGAATAGTGAAACAGAAACATGTGATTTTGAAATTCTCGGAACAAAGAATCATTTGTTTACGTAAACACTTCAGTCTCCTGGGGGTATCGAAATTAAAATTTTATCGTTTATCAAAGATGATACTTCAGATATCTCGCAATAAAAATTGCTAAATATTCAACAATATTTTTAAATCATAAAAATGATCAAACTCAAAAGAGCAAGGACCTTCCTCCGCACATCGTAACTTATCTTAAAAAGTTTTATTATAATATTGTTTCTTGTAAACTTTGTACCTCTGCACTTTGGTAAAATTCACAATATTTGGATCTGTGTATAGCCGGTATAATTCAAAATCTTTGAGCCTCATAGCAGAGCCTTGTACCCGTTTTCATTTACTGGCCCAAACATCTTCCCAAGTATTTTCTCTCAAAGATACTCTCTCGTCGTTTTGGCATTGATTAAAAACTACACATAGTAGTATGTATAGTAGTTTTTAATCAATGGTTTTCGAAAGGCCAGTTTCAGCCTTATATATCAAAACCAGTCTTATTAAGTTCTTGTAAATCTTAGGCTTTCTTCTTCTTCTTATGGTGCCCTATCCAATTAGTGGATGTTGGCGACAATTCTGGCATACTCCTCTCGATCTTGTGTGGCTGTAAAGAGTGCATGGGCATTGAGGTTTGTCCAATCCCTTATGTTTTTAAACCATGAGTATTTCTTTCTTCCGATGCCCCGTTTTCTTTCTTTCTTCCCTTCCATAATAAGCTTTAAGAACTAGTACTTAGAATTTCGAAATATATGACCCAGATAAGCAGTTTTTCTTCTTTTTATTATTGGCAGCAATCCTCGTTCTCTGCCCATTCGATTTAATACTTCGACATTTTTTGTGTGATCTGTCCATGGAGTTTTAAGTAGTCTTCTAAATACCCACATTTAAAAGGCCTCCAATCGGTTCATCAAATTGGCCTTTATGGTCCAGGTTTCTACACCATATAGAAGTATGGAGTAAATGTAACATTTTACAAACCGATATCGAAGCGTTAAGTAAAGGCTGATGTTGCTTAGGAAGGTTCTCATATTAGTAAATGCTGTTCTGTCTGGATCTAGATATTTAGTTATCCAACTACCGAGATAAATGAACTTGGGTACCTTTTGGATGTTCTTATTGTTTACTCTTATATTTAATTGCATATTTCGTGTTCTACTAACCACCACTACCTTCGTCTTGTCTATATTAATCTTCAAGCCCAGTCGTTCTCCTTCAGTGTTTATTCTATCTACTATTCGTTGTAGCGCTTCTTGACTATCAGCTATTATGACTGTATTATCAGCATAGCGAAGGTTACTAATCGAATGAACCTTCGAAGGTTACTACGAAGTTTTACATCGAATGAAAAAGAGCACAGAAATGACAAAAACGATAAAAGGATGAACGATGAAAGGACAAAAACGATAAAACGTTATTCGGAAGTTACAATATTTTGGTCATGTAATGAGACATCCAGAGAGGTATAACCTTCTACACCTTATAATACTAAGATCGACGGAAGGAGAGGCCCAGGCCGACGAAGAACATCCTGGCTACGAAATCTCCAAGAATGGTATCAAGAAACCACCTTTAATTTATTTAGAGCCGCCGTGAATAAGGTTATTATTGCCAATATGATCGCCAACGTTCGATAATCGGACAGGGCAATGAAAGAAGAAAAAGAAGGTTACTAATAGTCTGTCCGTTGATTTTGATTCCATCTTCACTGTCACTTAAGGCTCTATCAAAAATCGTTTCAGAGTAAAGATTAAAAAGGAAGGGTGACACAACACAACCCTGTCGTACACCTTTTTCGATTGAGAAATATGATGTAGATTCCAGTCATACTCTCACAGATGCCACTTGATTCATATAAAGGTTCTTTATGATTTTAAGGTCATTATCATCTATCGAACGTACCTGGAGCAGTCTTACTAATTCTGAATGATTAACACAATCGAACGCTTTCTGGTAATCTATAAAGCATAGGAAGACATCTTTTTTCTGATCTCTGCATTTCTGAAGTAGGACAGTTAAGCTATAAAGTGCTTCTCTTGTGCCAAATCCTTGTCTGGAACCGAACTGTGTGGGGCTAATGTCTCTTTCACTTGTATATTCCTGTGTGAATTATCTTTAAGAAAAGTTTTCGGACCTAACTCAATCAGCTGACCATTCGGAATTGATCGCAACTATTTGCGTCTGGCCTTTTTGGGATTGGTATAAAGGTTGATTGAAGCCAGTTCTGTGGTATTTGACCAGACCCATAAATGCCATTAAAAAGATCTACCAAGGCGTCTATATTGTTTTCATTAAACATTGTTAGAACCTCTATGTATATGTCGTCTGGACATGGTGCTTTTCCCCATTTGCTCTGTTTGATTACCCTTACAACTTCTGACTTCAATATTTGGAGGAAGGGTTCACTTTTATATTCACTTTCAGATCAAGTGTTGTCTGAGTATAGTTGCTATGTGAAGTTTATTCAATGTTGAAGTAGATCCTTGGGATCAGTAATTAATTTATTGTCCTTCACAATAATGTTAACACTGCAAGGTTTTGTATGACCTGTCACTTCTTTAACGAGTTTATGTATGTTAAAGTGGTCATGTATTTCTTTTAATTCCTCGATTTCTTCACACCTGTCTAGGAGCCACTGTTCTTTAGCTTTGCGACACTCTTTTAAATTACTCTCTTTTAACGTGGATAAAACAGTAGCATTATCCTATAAAGCTTTTTAACCCTTGCTTCTTAATAGTAAAATTTCTTGGTATTTTTATAGACCGCAACTTTCATATTGATTTGTTAAGTAAGAACTAGCCTCAGCCTGCTATACAATAAGATCTGTTTTGAAGAAAATCACATTAGCATCTTCCAAAATAACATACTTTTCTTTGTTCGAGTCTCATCTTCCATATGGTCTTCCTTTTTAGGGTTCCAGTACAGCTGCCCAATCTGATGTTATTTTTAAATTACAAAAAAGAGCAATACAAAATCTTTTTGGTCTTAGTAGAATAACACATTGCAGACATTACTTGAATTTGAATTGTTTGCTTAATTCGTAAACACCTACATGTTTTTCCACCAATGTCACAAGGTTATTTGTAGCTGCTTCTATTTCTGTAGGGCTTTTTAGTCTTACATTTACGTCAATGTTTTCATCCAAATTTACATTTGCTATGTCCAAGTCTTTTAGTGTGTGATTATTTTTATCTAGGTAATTGTAATACTTACTGTATGACTAGATGTATTCAGGGGAACTGTCTAGTCCTTCAGATCTTTATCAAATTCAGTTTGTAGTTGATTATGAATAGACAGAAAATTTATATATTATTTTTACATCAAAATACTAATTTTGCTGTAAAAACATAAATTATATCAAAAAACATAAGAAGAAAAGTCTAATAACCAAACTTCGTTTATTAATGAAGAAAACTTACAAATTTCACAATAAAAAATGGCTCTTAAGGTATAATATAACTAGTAATAAACACAATATAATATTGTCTATATAGAAAAAAATATCTACAAATGTCCACACACTTTCATTATGTAGTTCTTGGTAACTGATTACAACACCCGCACAAGCATTGGTATACACTTACCAATAGATACATGTACAACATTCTCAACAAAGCATATTCTCATTCAACTAAACTTATGCACAAAAACACACACACAGCCATATAATAACTTTCCACTGCAATAATTCCACAATTCAGACTATGCCACACACAATATGCTACAAACATATTAGATACTTATACACACATACATTCAATTATAATAAAATACATACAAATATAAATAACAATAGCTTTATGTTGATGTGACACCTTTCCTTGCCACAAGAAGGTTTAGAACGGGATGTTTCTTTATATAACTCACGGCTTTTTTGTGAGTCACCATCGTGAAGTCATAACCATTACATTGTAGTATTTTATCATGAATCCGAAGTCCAGCTTTAGATGCTGGACTATGGTCATGTACTTCTGTTACATAAATACCCTAAAAATAATACAAATAATATTAATTTTGAGCTGTTTAGTTTATTAATTTGTTTCTAAACAGAAAGTTACACAAATGTTCCTGTTTATATTACTGACTAAATGTTTAACATGGATAAATATAATAAATGGATAATTAATACTATGTTACAGGTAATCAAGGATCTGACAAGTTGACTTTAAATTGTAGAGAAAAAAAAACAGAAGATGGCAAGTTGAGGTAATATAAATAAGAAGGTAAGGAGTGACAGAATGAGTCAGTCAACTGATGGTATCACTAATTATAATTATATGGCTCATCAATTTTGCTCGTAATCTCAATATTTTATTTATAAATAATTACTTAATCTCTAAAAACGACATAAGACCTGAAATACTGAAATCAAAACCAAATCTTACATTATCTGTATATCCTTGAGGACTTTTATGGAAATCTTGGTCTATTCCTCCTCCGATTTTAAATCCACAACGGAGTGTATCGCCATCAACCTCTTTATGAAGAGTTATTGGAATCTGTAATGTAAATAATTAGGTGTGATAACATGTTTATTATTAGTTTTAACAGGCACTTACGCTTAAACACTCCATAGCCGTACCGGCTTGGTGTTGAAATGCCATTTTTGCACACATCTTGAATAATTTTAATCTGAATATGTGATATTCCTAAAATACTGTTTTTTATTATCTTTATAATCGATAAATTCTGAATGGGGTGATACAGATGACTAAGTCTATGTT